AAATGCAAACTCGGATTACTTAGGTAATTCATTCTCTAACTCTAGCTGTCTAGCAGAACCTCAAATGCAAACTCGGATTACTTAGGTAATTCATTCTCTAACTCTAGCAGAACCTCAAATGCAAACTCGGATTACTTAGGTAATTCATTCTCTAACTCACGCAGAACCTCAAATTCAAATTCAAACTCAAATGCAAACTCGAATTACTTAGGTAATTCATTCCTTAATTCTAGCAGAAACTCAAACTCAAATCCAAAGTCAAATACAAACTCAGCCTCGAACGAGAATTCTAATTCAAAAGCAAATTCGAATCAGTCAAGTGATTCAATTACAAACTCAAATTCCAATTCTAACTCAAACTCGAACTACTTAGGAAGTTCAATTCATAATTCAAGTTCAAATGAAAATCAAACTTCAAACTCAGAAGATTCCAATTCAAATTCAAGATTTTGCTTAAATATCAAAAAAGAAGCTTCGGCAGGGGTGGTGAAGGGCCTCTATAGATCTATTTTTATCGAATAAAATTTTAGTTCCATTGGATTCACAGAATCTTAATCGATAGATTTACCTTTACAACTTGATTTTTCATTTGTACATTAATAAATAAATGTTTTACATGGTAAGAGTTATGTACTATGGTATGCACATTACATGTTTAAAAAATTAATGACAAAAATGTAAAAACACAATTATTGTAAAGAAAAAAAAAAGAGGATCGCCGAGAATTCGGCGAGGGTGGCGGAAAGTTTCTACATGATAATCTGTTTTCATTGGATAGTTTCAATTTAAAATCGGAAAGAGGCATTATTTCATTTATAATTAAGAAGATGCAAAGTTTAATTTAATCAGGCTGCAATCGTATGATCAACTAGTAAGAATACTCTTAAAAGTCGCTAGCAGTAATTAACAGTATCAGTGATTTTTATTGACCATATCTGGCAATTAAAATTCATATTGCGAAAAATATTACCCCAACCGGAATTCGAACCTGGGACCTCCATCAATCCGTGACGGGCAATCGTATGATTGGAAAAGAAGACGAATAATGTTTTTATTACTATGTATTTCTAATTGTGTATAATATTGTTCATACTTATTAGTAACGTTTAGTACAAAATTCAATTTCTCGTGTCAAAGACGTTTATTTTGCTTTTCATAAAATAATTTTTTTCGCAACGCAATATGTATAACATATTCTTTCTCTCTTCTTACACACATGTACGCACGCGCCGCGCGCACACACACGCACACGCACACACACGGCAATTAAATAACAATATTTTCTCATTTTAAACAATGTTTCAATTAATATTGAGAAAACGAATGAATTTAGCGTGTATATTATTACCTAAAGTAAATGAAACGTATTCTTTAGTCACTGTTTTCAGTCAGTTTAACGTCTCTAAACATGATAAATATACAACCTATACAAATACCAGGGTTGGGAATGTTATTTTATAAAAGTAACTAGTTACAGTTAGTTTTTTCGCTAACAATGTAACTAGTTACAGTTACAAGTTACCAATTCTGAAAATTAACGCGTTACAGTTAGGCTGATGGCAGACAACTATCCGTAAGCGCTTAAGACTGACGTAGCCGTAGACTTAAGGTAAGGCAGAGAAAAACA